AATGGCCACCTAAATCTCCGTATACCAATCCGCTGGACTATTGCTTCTGGAAAATTTTGAAAAGCAAAGTTGGCGCTAAGAAATGTCAAAGTGTCGATCACATCAAGCAAGCGTTTCGCCGTGAATGCTCCAAAACATTCAGGCAGCGTGTGACGGTTTCATTGGCCGTTTGAAGGCCATAATTCGTGCCAAAGGTGACCAATTAGAACAAATCTAAACGTATTCTAAATGTTGATGCTATTTCCGACATTTTTTGCTATCATTCAATTAAATTTAAAAATTATGGCGTTCGACTTTGTTGCAGTTTTTTTTTATCTCACCTGTAGAAGATCTTACCCACCGTCCAATAAAAGCCCCGTATGTTTTAGGTAACTTCCTCTAGGTGTCGTTTTGAACTAACAATTTTCCTCGAGTGTTCGTCTCGGGTTTCATTTCATTTGCCATCACCAATTACTATCCTATAACATTGTCTATGAACCTCAATAACAAAAGCGCACGAAACAGTATTTTAAAATAATAAAATTAATTTGTCATTCTGTGTACTCGTTTTGTTTGTTTGTTTGTGTATGTTCGACGCCAACGACTACAACGCTCATACGCACATAAAACTTCAATAAAAATTCCATTTCAATTGAGACAGGCGAGCAAGCAAACGTATCACTTGTACTATTCGTTTTCGTTCAATGTTTTGGATTCTAGTTCTATTTTTTTTTTTTTTTTCAATGAAGTTGATTGTTATTATTTCTGTGGGTTGGGGAGGGGGGAAGTGTGTTGTTGAGGAATAAATGATAAAATGTGTAACCCTTGATAGAACGATCGCATATGCGGTAAATTTATATTAATTAAAATTTTGTTTGAAAAAATGAACTGGCATAGAAGTGTTTTAATTGGAAAGAAATTCAAGTTGAGAGTTTTCAGAAATTTTCAATGAAATATTTTTTTTAAAATTTCGTAATATGATCAAAATGAACTTTTTCCCCGTACCCCAAAAACAAAAACCTTTCGAAATTACAAGAAAAACAATAACTCAAGTTTGTTTACTATGAAATCAATCAATAAGTGGTTATAAATCACTTTTTATTAAAAAGAAAAAAGTAACAACAAATTCATTAGAAAGGCCCACTTCGATGATAAACTATGGCCGGAAAGTCCATTCGCATTACCACCACTTCAATATATAATTCAATCCAGTCATATCTTGAATAAAAATCTAAACAAGAAAAAAATGTAGAATTGTGGTTCACGTCAAAATCAAAATTGGAAAAGGGTATGCGGAAAAAAAAAGAAATGATACCCACTTTTTAATCAGAGAGAATTTTAAACCAGATAAGCCATTATGGGTTATGGGTTGTATATTGTCGGAAATCTTTCTTTTCACCAGTAAAAGAATCATATATTATCAGGATTTAAAGTTGGTTTTCAATTTTCATTTATTTTTTTTGGGTGTATTAGATTTGACACTTCCCCCACAAAAAAAAGTCCCTTATTGGAGTGTGGGCGAGTTGTGATAAGAAATGTTAATGAATACAAAATAAAAAACGAAGTTATGAAAGAAGACATTCCTTATATGAGAAATTAGTTAACAAATGAAAAACGCCATATTTTCAAAGGAAAATATAAATAATATTTTACAAATATAAAAGAAATAAATTCCAGTAAGCATTTGCAAACTCTCACTAACATAACTGTCAAAATTGCTCTCGTCTCTAATTAGGGAAATGTGTCAGTGTTGTCAGTAATTAAGTCGCACGGTACTCGATTTTTCCCTGGTGTTTAGTATAACGTAACAGTATTACGTAACAGTGGTTTTACAATATTGAAAGTTAATCCACTAGGTTTAATAGATATGGTGGACTACCTTGCGTATGAAGATAAATCCGCATGAGAACAAATAGAAAAAATATGTATCAAACCCCTAATATAGAGAAAATTGATTTTAAAATATAAGTGTTCATTCAAGTAACAAGTTAAAAAATATCAGTAAGTTTTGCCGACAGATCTGTAGCCTCAGCCAATGTTCGATTATTACAATATATTTTGACTTCTATTATGATTATTCAAATTGTTGATCCTCTATGGAGTAGGTGCAGAAGGAATAGGCCAATAATGTCCATTTCGTATCGGATCTAAATAAATATGATATAAATATTGCGACTTGCCAGGTTTGGACTATATCGTCTACTTCCTTCACTTTATATGAGATATGTGATAATCTATAGAAAATGTAGAAATAATGGGATGTGTGCAAATTTAAGAGAATCGGATGCTTATTTCGTATTTCAAAATCGTTTTGGTTATTCAAAACCTTGACCCTTTGATGGTGAGGTACCAGAAGGAATGGTCCGAGCTCTACCATCTTTATATTAGATCTCGTGTCGATAAAAATAATGAGATGTGCCAAGTCTGAATGAAATCAGATGTTAATTTCGCATTCATGGATATTCAAAACGTTAACCCTTTGTGGGGAAGTGTAGTGGACCGAAATATCCCATGTTCACAGCGGACCTTGTGTTAGTGGAAATAATGGGACGCGTGATATATAAATAGAGCCGGAAGCTTATTACGGATTTTATAATAGTTTTGGTTATTCAAATGTTAACCCTTTGTGGGGGAGTTACCAGAATGAATGGTCCGATCTCTACCATCTTTATAAATAATCTTACGTTCATGGAAATATTGCGATGTGCTAATTCTGAACGGAATCGAATGTTAATTTTGTCTTTTATGAGTTTTATGAATATTCAAAAATTTGACCCTTTGTGGGGGAGATACTTGATGGAGTAGACCGATATCATTTTTGCACCTGACCTAGAACTGGCGCAAATATTTGGATTTGCAAAGTTGGAGCAAAATTGGACTATTGCTTCTCTTTCTCTGCAGATTTTTTTTTTTTGAAAATTTCGACTCTTTGTGGGGAAGCTACCAGAAGGAGTGAGCCGATATCTTCCATTTTAACAGCAGAGCTTTTGTTAATATAAAGCATTGGGATGTGTGAAATTTGAAGAAAATCGGACACATACATCACATTTTATAAGAGATGTAATTATTCAAAATGTTAACTCTGTGTGGGGGAGGTACTTGATGGAGTAGACTTATATTGTCCACCCAACGTAGCTCTAGCGTAAATATTAGGATTTGCAAAGTTGGAACAAAATCGGACTACCGTTTCTCTTTCTATGCAGAAAATATATTTTTTGAAAATTTCAGCCTTTTGTGGGGGAGGTACCAGAAGCAGTGCTCCGATATTGCGCATCTCCGAACTCGATCCAAGTTTGAGAAAAATATTACGATGTAACAAGTTTGGACCAAATCGGATACTCCCTTCGAGAGTTATCGTGCGCACCAGCCAGCCAGAAAGACAATCAGTCGGATGGACGGACATCGCTAGATCAACTCCAAATGTGTTGAAACGGATTTGGTACAAAATATATTTTTAGAAAATTTCGGCCTTTTGTGGGGGAAGTGCCAGAAGCAGTGGACCGATATTGCCCATTTCCTAACTCGATCTAAGTTTGACAAAAATATTACGATTTACCAAGTTTGGACCAAATCGGATACTCCCTTCGAGAGTTAACGTGCGCACCAGCCAGCCAGAAAGACAAACAGACAGATCAAATGATATATACCCTCTGTAGCCATATGACTGAGGGCATAAAAATCTACATCTTCCATTTTTGATCTACCTTCGATTGACTTATAAATTGATTGTTTCAGTTTAGTAATATCTACTAGTTTTTCGTTTATTTACATTCTGATTCAGAATTTCTGGGTAAACTATATGGGTCTCTCAGAGCGATTTTGACAGATTCTTGTTTTTTTTCCCATTAAAAAAAAGTACTTGGACACGGTAATAATCTCCCCTTAAGTGGGGAAAAATTTCCAAATAATTGTCATTTATGATGACAAATGACAGCTACTGCGGCAAGTCACATAACATATCAATCATAGTGTCTGGCACGCAATGGATAGATAGATGGGTTTTCCTTTGCTCGCTGTTGACTTTACCAGCAAAGTTAATTACAGTGTAAATATGTGTGGAGAAATTATCTGAAAAATCAATACATATTAAGACATTGGACCCGCATACATTTATTTGGGTAGGCATTTAATTAGTAAAATAAATTTCGAAATTCAAAACAAAAAACTGAGAGCCAACTTCTGCATGACGATCCACGCCTTGTATGCTTTTCAAATTCTTGATTTTCATTAATTTTGAAAATAAACATGGAATGGAGATCTCTTTAGAAATCACTTTCGGGGTTTCATTCAGAAATATTCCCATAACTTTTGTTTTGTTTAGTCACTTCTTCCAGCCACAATAGTTCTAATGGGAAAAACTCGTCGTTCACTAATATTATTTTAACTGATAAAAATTTACGTTAACACCAACTGACTGGTGGATTTTTATTACTACGTTGACATGTTAAGCCTCCATTTTAACTTTAAATTTATTAGTAGCTGATAGGTATTTTTACCTTTATTTCCACGAGAATTTGTTTAGAATTATTTTAACTTTTTTTGATACGGCTATTTGGAAGCAAACAAAATCACATGACCCCTTTGGGGCTTTATTCACAACTGACTGACTGACTGTCTTGTCTGTCTCTCACACACACATTCAGTTCTCATCAAACAAATTAAAAACGAGTTTCAGTAAATAATAGTAAAAATTTATTACGTTATTATAACGAGTCATCTTTCTCAAAGAGATTCACCTCTGCGAGGGAGAGAGAGAGAGAGAGAGAGAGAGATCAACGACTGAGAACCATAGAACTTCTGTTATGAACGTTGATTTGTTGATGTTTGATTTAAGCTTTGCATTTTAGTTGTTTTTTGTTTTGCAAATCACATGATCGCCAAATCGTTATTGCCAAAAGTCAATATTTAACTAAACTCGTGCTTAAAACAAACAACGAATGTGGTGGGGAGAAAACAGCAACAGTGAGAAGTTAAAGCCCCCCCAAAAAAAAACATTCATATTTTATGGTTGATTGGTGTGCGTGTTGAGTAAACAACCAACAAAAAAAAGACAAAACCCTGGAATGACGAGAAACCTCAAGTTAATGAATTAAAACAACAAGAGTAAAAAACAACGGTCATACTCAATGATGATTGTGGGAGATAACGGCTATTTTGTTGTGATTTAAGGTGATGTCAACTTAAGGGATTTGCCAAGGCATAAATATGACGTTTATACAAGTCACAAGAATTACAATGGCGATTTTTCCTCACGTTTAGATGTTTGAATCCAATAACTAATTCCACAAATTAAATATTCGCGGCCTTTGAGGGCAAGCTTCATTCAGAAAATTGATTTTATCTTGATTTTTAAATTTTGTTAAATTTAATTGACAATGGATATTTGTTGGTAATAAAATTTAAACATATACAGGGTGAGATGAAAAAACTGCAACCCACTTCAGACTGCTGTTGTTTCCAAGCCACTCGTCCGACAGCGGTTAAAATTATTTCAGTGACATCTAATTATATTTGTTTACAAGCGTACAAAAGCATTTTGGTGAACATTTTTCAGAAAAAAAGTTATTCGTGATGGAATTCAAGCGTGATATTGTGTTTTCTTTATATTTGGCTAGAAAACAACAAGTGGCTAAAGTTAGAGCACTTTCAACGTTAATAAATCTTTTGTGTCTCGTACCATCGCTCGTTACCGTGATGCTGGTAGCGTAGCCCGACGTCAAGGAAGTGGACGGAAGAAAACAGCAACATCAGCAGAAATGGTTCGAAAAGTAAAGAAGCGACTTAATCGAAACCCGCGTCGCAGTGGCCGAATAATGGCTCGTAAGCTGAACATATCCCAATGTTCCATTCGACAAATATTAAAAAATGAGCTCGGGGTAAAACCATTGAAATTCCAAAAAGTGCAAGAACTTACACCACAACAGGAAATTAATAGACTCAAAAGAGCTAAAGAGTTGCTTCGCTTGGCCGAAAGTGGTGAACTGCCGAATTTAGTTTTCTCCGATGAGAAAAATATTCGTCGTCCAGCAGTTTGTAAACAAACAAACGTGTTTACTTGCCAAAGAGGTCAGTTGAAAAGGTGCACCTGTGAATGTGCAAATGTGAACTCAAACGCCAGCCATGGTGATGGTGTGGACCGCCAGGTGGAGGGTGTATTAAAGCCTTGGACACGCAAACATTTTGGCCGCAGACCGTAGACATTCCAACAGGACTCAGCACGTGCCACCCAAGAATGGTTACAAAAAGAGTTTCTCGCTTCAATCTCTGCGGATACCAATCCGTTGGTCTATTGTTTCTGGAGTATTTCGGAAAGCAAAGTTGACACAAAAAAATGCCAAAGTGTAGATCACCTCAAGCAAGCGCTTCGCCGGAAATGCGCCACAATACCGTAGAGCAACATTCGGGCAGCGTTTGACGGTTTCATTGACCGTTTGAAGGCCATAATTCGTGCCAAAGGCGACCAATTCGAACAAATCTAAACTTATTCTAAAATTTGATGCTATTTCCGACATTTTTTGCTTGCATTCAATAAATTTAAAAAAAAATGTAAAATTATGGCGTTTGACTTTGTTGCAGTTTTTTTTATCTCACCCTGTATACCTACTATATATTCTAAAATGTAGACTATTTATGGAATTGGAAGCAACAAGATTCTCATTCTCATTCAGAAAGTCACAAAAACCAATTTCTTTCTTGTATTTAAATTGGAACCATTTGTGTAAAACAGCTGTATTAGCAACACTTAGAAAGGCTTGGTCGTAATTACTCAACACACGCCGTGTTATGTCGAGAGAACCGAACCAACGAGTGAGCTTTTAAACTTGACTCTGGGTGTGGAGTGGAAACAGCAATCTACTAACTGACAGGGAGGAATGGGGTGCACTACAGTTGGGTCCCGATACTAATACAACTACCACTGTGCTGGATGGACGTTGTGTTGTTGAAGGGAGTGTTGTTTGCTTTTAACGCAACACAAAACCAATGAAAAAAAAAACACAAAAACCCCCGAACATCTTATGCCGTAATGCTGAAATAGCTGGAATTTTGATTTCAACAACAAAAACATGTTGTTTATTTTTGTTGTCTGGCTTTGATTTGTTTTCTTCTGTTTTTTTCATTTTATATTTGCAGTTAATTTTCGTTCGATTGGAAATGCACACACACAACAAAAACATCAAAGTGATGATGCAGTGAATGCGGTGTCGTGAAATTCGAAACGCAATGCGAGATATTCAAAGGAAAAAAATACACAAATGAAAACTTCGTATTTAATAATAAAAAAAAAAAAAACAAAACCGAAAGTCAGCTTCCTCGGGTTTAAGCCAAATGATACTTGTCTAGACAACGTAGACAGAAAACGACAAAGATCATATGACTTGCTTGGAAGTGTTAGCTCATAAGCGTTGCTTCAATATCACGTGTCTAAAGCGAAAATAAAAAAATTAGCAGAGTTTGTTATACCCCCCCACCATAGTATGGAGGATATAAGTTTGTCATTCCGTTTGTAACACCTCGAAATATGCATTGCTCAAATGTATATTATGTCTGCAGGACATTTGATATGTAAAATGGGCCATGTAGGTCCACGAAGCTCCATATAATGGTACCTCCCGATATTCGGCATTTTGGTGATTTAAGCGACATTATTCACCGTTTAAAATTTGGTATTTGAGGTTCGTAATGGATATTACAGCCTATGACAGAAAATTGTCTGTGCAGGTCCCCGTTCTAGTCGTTGGTCAGGTCGTCGTATAGACCCTAATATAAAGGCTACATTCGGTATTTTTTGAGATTTTAATAGAATTTTTAACAGATTTTTTTTGAAATTAATTAATAAATAATTGAAAATCATTACAAAACATCTAAACTATAATCTATAAAAATACATTTTTAATAAACTCCATCTTGCCTCTAAAACATTAAAAGTTTCAGTTTTAGTGTACACAACAAATTTCCAAACATTTTTTTTTTTATTTTACATATCTTCAAAGGATATCCCTACAAAAAATTTAGAACGAGTCAAACTTTTTAAAGCCTTAGGGTGGAAATACATAAAACGTATATTTAGCTGGCCTAAGTCATCGGCTGGCTTCTTCGTACATGAACAAAGTAGTTTTAGGTTGACTTAGTTCGATTTTGGCTTTAGGCTCTTTTGTTCATTTCCGAAGAAACCAGCCAGATAAGCGCTTTATGTATTCCCACCTTTAAAATTAAGGCTAAGAAAACTTTTACGATTTTTTTAGAGATCAACCACATTTTGTTGCGATTAACCCATTTTCGATATGAGAACACCTTGATTGTCACATATTTAGGTATATTTAAGGACTTGGTGGACATTTTTTTCACTTTAAGACATTTTCACTTGGCATTTTTCGTTTCGTTTGCATCTAAAACACATGCCTTCCCCTCAAAAACATTTTGGCACTTCATTAGGTGTGTCTGGTTACTTTTCCAGCAGGAATTGTCCAGCAACTTCTTTCTGAGAGAAAAGATAGTTTTATTCTCTTTTGCAAGGAAAATGCGAAAAGTAAACAGACGGTATTCCTGCAGAAGCTTGAAACTAATCAGCTGATTTGTCAAAACAAACCAATTTGTCCCTCATAAGGAGAATTAAAACAAAGGATCCAATACTAATTTTACAAGTTTTTTAAATAAAAATGTTGGAAATAGTCTTTTATTTTCTTATTACATATTAATATTTATGTTTTTCACATTTTGTAAAGTTGTTCTCCAAAAGCAATTAGTCTTGTTAATTCCAAAATAATATTTTCAAATTAAAAACACAAAAGGAAATAAATAAACAATAGAAAACATCTGATTGAATGTCGATGAATGAGAAGAAGAAGAGTTGCAAGAGATTGCAAGAAGAAATTTGTCCAGCAAGAATTTGCAAACTCTCACTGAAAGAACTGTCAAAATTTCTCTCTCCAACCCCTCTCTTTTGCAGAACTTTCGGGTTAACAGACGACTTCCAGTAACAATTTGTAACAATTGTTACAAATTTTAGGGTAACCAGACACACCTATTGTTGTTTTGTTTTTTTTTTTCTTATTGTTTTACTTTAGATGATTTGTACTTATTTGCTGTTGGTTGGTGTTCTTGTTGTCTGAGATTTTTGTTTTTATATGTATTTTTAAATTGATATTTGTTTTTGTGTCGGAAAATGTTTTAATTTTGCACAGCAAAACCAACAACAACTATGACAACGGTAACGACCACGATCCACCACTGTCTGGTAGTATTTTTATTTTTCTCTTTGATTTTGTTTTTTTTTTTTTTTCATTTTTTGGCAATCACCTTGAATAACTTGTTGGCAGTTGTTGCTGTTTTTCTTCTGCGATTTTTTTCGAATATAAGAAAACCATTTCACACACTTTGTTTGCTTTCAGTGATTTATGCAAAAAAAAACACGACTGATATTCATTGAAACAGGAATATTATTCAAACCGAAACACGATGAAACACTTGTTTCAATTCATCGTCATTACATATCCCTCCTCTCCCAGTTGATGCAGAGCATTTTGTTGTTAGCCATTTTTTAAAGCAAGAAATCTAAACATTATCAATAATATCACTTGTCATCCACCGCTTTTTAATTTGAAGTTCCTTTTTTACTTCTTTTTTTTTTCTACAAATTTGTATGTGTGTTTTTATTTATTGAACCTTTAATTTACTGATTACTTACGTTTGCCTTTAACAAATTTATTCCGTTAATGATATTCCCAACACACGTTTAACCGACGATAATTAAAAAAAAAAATGTGAAGAGCGTTCAGAACCTGCCTCGTCGGTAGAAAGCACTCGTCTGTTTTTATTGAACATTTTTAGTATTTAGCAAGTCTTATCACCAACCATACTAGCAAGCGGCTAGCCCCACCAAAGCAGCAGCGTCTGTCAGTTGGCACCAACACACTCTTATTTTCATTGAAAATTATAAAAAGGGGAGCTTACTCTTCTTTGTTCGTCATAGTACTCTCTTATGTGTGTCTCTCTCTCTTTATCATCATTACAAACAATTCTCTTACTAACACCAAATACATGATGTGTAAATGACCCAATTGGAATAGAATTGTGTTGCTTTTTTCTTATTCCAAGTGACTAAATAGAATCTGAATCGATCCATCAATCAAAAATTTATTCGTTTTATTCATTTTGAGGTTTATAAAAAAGTTAATCATTGTTTATTGGCCCCATAACGAAAATAATGATTGATTAGAGTTAAAAAAAAAGGTGATATGTTTATAATTGCAGGTGAATGTCCATCAGATGTGTCAGACATCTAGGCGCCATTTGATCTCAAATTCAAAATTATTTTAAGCAATTGCTATGTTCAAGAACCTGCAAGAATAGTTTTGAAATTTTTTGGATGTCATAAAGGAAAAATCTGTTATCGTAGTAAAAAATATTACATTCTTGTAGTTCCGAAATGTCTATAAAATAGAATCCAAACCCGACGTTTACACAAGACAAATTGTCTTAAATCACAGTACGTTTACATATAAATGGGTTATTCCAATGGATTTAGATTAAAATTGTCATATCCATAATGCATACTTCAAATAAATCCATACTCTGCGGTATTTTGGCCCATTCCCGGCGAAACGCTTGCTTGAGGTGATCGACACTTTGATATTTTTTTTTTGTGCCAACCTTGCTTTCCAAAACACTCTAGACACAATAGTCCAACGGATTGGTATCCGGAGATTGTGGTGGCCATTGTGCGCTGGAAACGAAGCAAGGAACCTCATTTTATAACCATTCTGGGGTGGCGCGTGCTAAGTCCTTTGGAATGTCCAA